CTGTCCAGTACTCCCAGCTTTTACAGTGGTTCTCTAACCGATGTCAGCTCATGATGAAATCCCCCATGCAATCAAACAAAATCCCTACAAAACCAATACTTGAAAAATAATGGAACTATATAAATAAAGTTAGGAAATCGTGTGACTACCTTGATATGATTATGAGCAGCAATAAATTGTGCTCGAAACGTCATCAGTAAACATTACTGTATAACACTGTGAGACTTTATCAAAACAAAATTTACCCATAATGGATTTATACTCTACCACAGTGCACAAGTTTTATTCTTATATCAATGATACATAACTGATTAACTTAGTTAGCTACATTCATTTTGTAAAATACTATAAGTCGACTAACTATGCGATCTTGATCTAACAGAGCTAATGAAGTAGTAAATTTGCTGAAGCTGAAAAAGCTCTGAATTACAAATTTATCTTCAGTGTAAAAGTATTTCTTCTGGTATTCTGGAGAATCATGAACTTTTAAACAAAACATTCATACGTACAGATATAAGCAAATCACTAAGCATACACGAATAGGAATTTCTGCCAATGTTAACGAATTCATTCATGATTCTACTTCTTTTCCTTTCTGCTTAATTATTTAAGCATAACGACATCTTTAATGTAAATAAACAGTAGGTAATATGTGTAATACGAATTAGAATGACCTAAATTTGGAAAACATACACAAAAAGAAAGAAGAGAATCTAAAGTAGAATTTAAGTAAAGCCAAGATAAAGGCAAACAGAAAGAGAAAGAGTCTGTGTGCGAATGAACTAGATGGCGTAAGTGTAAAGCAGAATGGGAATAGAAAAGAAAAGGCAATAAAATGAAATGCTTCAATACTTCTCCAACTTCATTCATTAGACTGATATTTAGGTCAAAGCTTTTTAGTGTAGCTAGTGTCTTGATGTTAATAATAAAGTAATCGGTTTTTCTTGTTAAGCAACAGAAGACCTGACTGCTAGTTGAACTATAATATATTTGTATCTGAAAAAGTGAATAGTACTCTTCTTCTGCTCTGTATTTAACTAATTTTCATCATATATAGTTTATGTATCCTTATATATACAAATAAACGCGTGAGTGCCCAGCATTCCATCTCGACTAAATAGTAATAATAATCGTTCTATTCTGAACACTGTTTTTATAATGTACAGAATTTTCAGTGAAGATTCTTGCATAGTAGTTTCTTTTTGTGTAGGATCTTCAAGTAAAACAGTTTTTTTTCCTTCACGTTCCCAAGTGGAACTTAGGGCCTCAAGCTAGTGGCTTGAAGTTTCTGTAGCAGTGGCGGTTATTTTTACAAGATGGGGTTGCTAGTCTCATGCCCAACCTTTCCTCAATACCACCATCATTTCTGGTTTAGCGAGGTAAAGAAGTTTATCGGCCAGAGATCGAACCCTGGACCATGTGCATGGTCGGCGAGCGTCCTAACCGCTATGCCACCGACGCCCAAGTAAAACAGTAAGTGACAGTACATCATGTGACACTACTGTCTGATCTGAAACGCTAACCAAACCCTTATGATATATCTTCTTTGATTCCTTCGAAAAAATGTACAACATTTTGGTAAAAGGCAATTGAAAAAAGGTGCAAGAGTACATTTCTTGGCCCAAGAACATAATAATAATCGAATAATTGCAAACTTAAGGTTATTGATTTAATTTCTCAGAGATTGGCAGTTTGTATTAAAAATCTCATGAACAGTTATTTCATGTATTGTCATACGTTGCCACCCACAATTATGCTTTCTCTCAAATTTAGTAGAAACTTGTGAACCAGTAGGCTGTAGACATTTTAAATACTCACAAGAGTAGAAAACACTATTAGAGGTCATATTTTAATAGATTATAACAAACTGGACAAGAAAAATTATATGCAGAGTAATGATGGAGTATTTCGGTGGCCCAGGTTTAAAATAGACCACCTATACAAATGATATGCATTATTATATTCTTAAGAACGCTTATTATTATTATTATTATTGTTCCCTTGGGTTCCGAGTGGAGCATAAAGCTTCAACAACACATCTCCGCTTTCTTCTATTTTCTGCCATCATCTTCAGATGGGTCTACGATCACCCAAATTCTCTCATCTCTTCCCCCATGTGACCCTCGAACAACCCACTCGTCGCTTCCCATTTAGATTCTACTCGACGGTCTGGCGCGGTCTTCGTTGCCTCTTCATCCAGCCTGTTGTTTATCGCCTGCAAGTCTTCAAGTTGGCGTGACATTAAACATATATCACCCACACGTGAAATCCAGATCCTCTGGAGTCTTCTTATCAATGATCCAGCGTACTGCTTTCTCCTCGCTCCCCACAGTCCTGTACATACTTCAGTCCACCAAGATTAAGAATATCGTTGGTGCTAACAGGCAGCCAGACTTATCCTACTTCTGTATTCACTGAATAGGCTTCATAGAGTTTTCCGTTGTGGATCACCTGACACAAGGTATTTTTCATATAGCGAGCTGTTGAATGAGGCTGATAAAGATTTGGGCACTGCACACCGTAGTGTTGAATTAGTTTTCAAATGACCTCTTGGTCAACGCTGTCTCTTGAAGGCCTCTCCGAAATCGATGAAATTGAGGTAGAAGTTTGACTGCCATTCTATGCTTTGTTCGATTTTCGATTTCAAATGGTACACGGTGACACTAAAATTTGGTTACAACTGATTGGAAAATTGGTCTCATAAAAGATGTTGTGAAAAGTTGTTATATTTGACGGGAAGTCAGTTTTTGAGATTCTGTCTACTTATAAGTTAAATCTATATTATTTCAAGATATTTGTCTAAAATAATCTAAAGAATTTCACTTATCAATAAGACTGTAGTAGGGATTTAGTTAAGTATAAGTCAAGCATAAAGACAATCACATATGACCAAAAAAAAATGAATCAATACAGATACGATTTCGCAAACTTATTCTTCTTTATGAATTTGAATAAAGCAAGAAAAACAATGGTATGTGCAGAATAAGATGGTACTATTGTTTATTTCCTCGGCTCCTCATCAACCGCGTACAGTTTAAAGAAAATAAGTTTAAGTACAGAAGAATTTCAACATACTTGAAAATGTGAAATGATGTCAGATGACAGGAGACTCCAGACTTAGCGAACAGTGCTGAGAAATTACTCTTATATAGCTTATACATATAAACTCAAAGTTTAAACAAAAGGTATAAAGGTTTGGGTGCAATTACAGAAAAGCTGCATAGTACAGACTAGATGTGAATAAGATAGTGAGTAACTAATAACCTGATTAACTATGTGTATAAACAAGAGACAAACAAAATTACTTTATACAGAAGGGGAAGAGTTTAAAGACATCCAGTTGTCGGAGACTGCTTCTTTCTGATCAAATAAATCTATTTTCGGGAGTTTGATAGCCACCACTCCAGTAAAGTTGAGGAGAACTGAACTATTTTTTTCATTGGTAATTTAAATGGACTTCACAATGTCCACCAGATAACCAGGAGGGATAAGAAGCTGACGAAATAAACCAATTTACTCTACACAAACAGTTGTTCTTTCTTTATTCAAAGACATTCGACCACCCAAAAACTGATACATCCAGGTGCTATACCAAAGTAGAATTCTAAATTTAGAATGTAGGCTGTTTGAATGGATGTGTAGATGTCACCATAACTACTGACTACAAGTTAATTTGAAAAGAAGTTAATTGTCTGGTGATGACCAAAAAGGGAATTCAGCGTGCGCCTATCGTCCTTTCCTCTCAGTAACCAGGTGAATAAGGCTTTTGGGTAGAAATCAAAATTAAATTCGATAAGTAAATTCAGTGACGTAACATGATTGTTTGAATTGTGGAAATGTGGTGATTGACAATTTCTATCTCTGTATTGTTTAAAATACTTACTGTTGACTGTTGATATGTTTCTTATATGAATTGCATAATAATTCCGCTAAATACAAATTCCTGACTTCTGCCCTCTCTGTGTTTTGTTTGGATTCTTGTAATTCGGTCATCTCGAAATACTAATATTCCTATTACAATAAATTACTACAAATTGGCGTCGCGATGGAACTAAATAACCTGGGAAAATTCCCCATTAATGGGTCTCCGCGGGAGATTGCTGATTATTTGGAATGCTTCGATGCGTGGTGCATTTCAAAGAATGTTCGGGATGACAAAATACCAGCACATTTCATTACTACTATTGGACCAGATGCGTATAGCCTGGTGAAGAATCTGGCGTTTCCAGATAAACCCATTTTTCTGTCATATGACAAGATCCGTGAACTTCTGATACATCACTTTCATGTAACTACATTTGAGACCAGAGAGAGGGCTCAGTTCAACAAACTGGTTCGTGCTCCCAACCAGAAGATTCGAGACTTTATTCCTTAACTTCAAATTCAAGCCTCAAAGTGTAACTTTGGAGATCAGCTGCATACTCAACTACGTGATCGTCTAATTGCTGGAATCAATATTCCTAAGTTAGAGAAAGAGTTAATTCAGATTCCTTCTTGTACTTTTCAAACTGCTAAAGATGTATGTATTACATATGAAGATGTCAATAATGAATACTCTGCTCCCACTACGTCAGTGTCTGATGTTATGCTTTCTAAAGTCGAAAATACAAGTGTTCATGGAAAGCAATCCAAACTGCCGTCCACAGGTAATAGAATGCAGCGAGAGATCAAAAACATTAAACCGTGTTTTTCCTGTGGAAAGTTACATCTACGAAGCACTTGCCGTTTTCGGGGTGCTAAGTGTCACAAATGTGGTAAAGTTGGACACATCAAGACGGTTTGCAGAAGTTCGAATACTTATGTTGCTCAACATTCTTATAATTCTCCCAAGCTGTCTAGTAAAATGGAGTCAATGTGTCTTTCAACCTTTCAAAATACTCAAGCTAATCCGATGAAAACCTCCACTACAAGTTCGGCAACTCAAGTGTCAACTGTTTTCAAAAATGAGGTAGCTGAGTTACAATGTGAACTGTCGAAAACACGAAAAGACCTGAATGAGATGAGAGAGCAACTGATTAAAATTGAGGAATTACTGCATATGCATAGACTATGTCTGTTGAATGCAGAGCATACAAGTACCCGTGAAAGTCCTGCAAAACTTTTCAAATCTCGAATTCTCAAAAAGCATCTGATGTCCACGACTTCTAATGTACATTATTACAAAGGTAATAACTATAGACCTTCTGTTGGAATTATACTACAAAAAATGGGAAATCGAGTGGTGAAGATATTAGACATCAAAGATCACTCAGTTCATAACGGACACCTGGACAAAGTGACAATAAATGAAGTAGGTCGTTCCAATTATAATATTATTGATTCCGCTAATAATCCTGATTTTGTAGATAATTCAGAAATAGGTCCAGATAATACTGATGAAAATAATATCACAGAATCAGTTAGGTCGCAGCTACTTGCAAGCAAACCGAGACATCGTTATAAATACGCGAGGAGATATTCGAGGTGTGGCGGATGTGGTGATTGACAATTTCTATCTCTGTATTGTTTAAAATACTTACTGTTGACTGTTGATATGTTTCTTATATGAATTTGCATAACAGAAATTACACATGAAATATTGAGATCGATTTAGTCCATTATATGTTCAGTGATAGAATAGACTTCTACTGTGTGACCAGTTCAGGATTCTAAAAGGACTCGCAAACTAACTTCAGAATTTCCTACACAGTGTGCGAAAATCTTTCTAAAAGGGAACGAATCAAACTTCTTCATACCATAGAAAGTACACCAATCTACTTGTTAAATCCTAATCTCGGCATACAATAGAAGTCTGTTCTATCATTGAACATATAATGGACTAAATCGATCTCAATATTTGATGTGTAATTTCTGTTAGTCCTAATTTTTCTAATTTGTCGTCTTAGTTGAGCTCTCCACAATTCAAACAATCATGTTACGTCACTGAATTTACTTATCGAATTTTATTTTGGTTCCTACCCAAATGGAGTTTTCTACACCATATAACCGCTATCTAAAATTTACAGCTTTAATGACACTATTTTCGGGATATCCATTTCACTGACATGAAAATGTACTACTTATTTAGGATTTTATATCTTGAGAATGTTTTCACTTAAAAGAGTTATACTTCACTGAACACCTCTTCTTTTATAGTTGTAAGTAATTGCCCATTGTCAGAAGTCCTCTCTTACGAAAACCTAACCACAACACTAACTACTTCTAAACATTCCTACTAAGCGGAACCCTTTTTATTTTCATTCGTTGAGTCCCCGGTGGAACACAGTGTCTCAGACCTTTGGAGCTTCAGTAGCAATGGTGGTAATTTTATCCGCTAGGGTTGGTGACTTCATGGTCAACCTTTTCCTCCTTGCCGAGCTTGTTATCAGGTAGTAGACTGGGTGACAACCAGAAACCGAACTCAGACCACGCGCGTAGATGGCAAGCGTTCTACCAGTGAAACACCAGCATATATGCATGATCCTGTAGGCCCCCGTATTTGAATTGATACTCATCGCACCAATAATTGGTGTCATCTGCTGCATCCGATTAAACAAATGTATTTTCATGAGGAAACCTATTAACAAAAGCTTTTATGTATTCAAACAATAAAGCTATCAAATAACTTAGTTCCTTAAACAGATTTAACATATTTTTTTTTAAAGAAGAACTGTGTATTTGTCTATAACCTCATCTAAACTTATTCTAAGGAATAACGTCAATCAACAGGATATGCTGCATTTAGCTAGAGTTTTCGCTTAATTTCACTCACTTATGTGATGAAGCTGGTTAGTGAATGAGTTCACCATTAGGTGAATAAAAAACCTCATATGTAGAATAAGTTAATGCAAAGTGTTGAACAAGTCTATTAAATTCTTAAAGAGCATTTAAAGTTAATGTTTTTTTTTAGAATTGAAATGACTAATAGAAACTGAAAAAAATTATCTGTTTTTTGTATTTTTACAAAACTAGTTAGTTATAAAACTCTTCAAGTTACAAATAAGTAGAACACAAAACTATTTTGATGAAGTTAGCGGAAGTTACTCAAGTGGAGTTGAAATGAGATTATTAAGAAGAGTAGAGGAAAAGGCAATAAATTTCTGTGAATGACTGTCTCTATATCTATTTAAGTAATTTGTCAACAAACGAAACGTTGTTTCCAAAATAACTAATAATGCGAACAAACAGAAAGTAGGTGGTATGCTTTAGATACCCAGATATTAAAAGTCTGAACTGAGCTTGGAATGGCAGTCAGCTCTTTACCTCAACTTCCTCGACTTTGAAAAGGCCTTCGACAGCGTCGATAGAGAGGTGATTTGGAAATTACTTCGCCTCATGCAACAGTTGTACGATAATGTTGCATGTGAAGTAATCCACAATGGGAAATTCACGGAATCCTTCGAAGTGTAGACGGGCGTAAGACAAGGCTGCCTACTATCTCCAATGATCTTCCTGAATGCGGAAGACTGAACAATACAACAAATAGCGAGCAGCGAGGAGACGTGGATAAAATGGGACCCAGACAAAAACTTGAAGGATCTTGACTTCGTAGATGATATATGTTTGCTTTTCGACAAACTAGAGGCAGCACGTTGGCATAGGAAGCATCCAGAGAAGATTAGACTTGAGGTGAACATTGAAAAGATAGAGGTGATGAAGATTCCTAGCCAACAGCAATGACAACAACAGATAACAGCCAAAATAAGTGGGAGGAATTTGAAAGAAGCAACCTCCTTTACCTACCTACTTACCTGGGAAGCATCTTTTCAACTACAGGTGGACGGGACTGGTGAGGATATCACAGCGAGGTCTGTGTGGAGATCAACAGCTCTCAGAATGAAAAATGAGATCCAGATTTTCGACTCCAATGTGAATTCACTGCTGCTTTATGGATCAGACTTGGTGCGTCATGGAGAGCACCTCAAACAAACTACATACCCTCACCATCAGTTGTTTTCTCTCAATACCACTCAAGATCAGATGACCGACCAGAAAATACCAGCAATATTCGGGGGTCTCTGAGAGCAAGCTAACCAGGAACCGATTGTGCAACAAATATGTAGGAAGAAATGGGTATGGATTGACCATACTCTGACAAAACAAACCATAAAGTGACATCACACCTAAGACCATCTCTCGGTTGGAACAGGGACGGGAAGTGGCGAGTTGGTCGTAAGTGTGAAGGTGACATGAAGGAGGTCGTGTGAAAAGGAGATGAAAGCATGTGGGCAGACGTGCAGCCAGGTGAAAAGGTTGGCGGAGAACCGAACACAGTGTAAACTTGAGTCTGAGGCCCTATGTTCCTCTAGGAACTAAAGGAAACAGTAATAATAATAAAATTTTGAAACATTTTGAGAGCACAAACTGAACTATTTCTATTACTGTTCGAACACAATATCCATTATCTTACTTTACTCACGTTCTATTGGCTGAACAGCTTGAATACAAACCTTTTGTTACCTTTCTAAACAAAATTTCTCGCGCTTACTTCATCTTGATGTCATCTAGGTAAACAATTTAATCTTCGGAATCAGAACCATCCAGCTCAGAGAATGTAACTACACTAGAATCATTCACATAAACTACAAATCTTCTCCAATCACTACACGTTTAAATGGATCACTCGATTGAAGTTATTACAGCTTACACATTGGTAAAAAAAATATTCGAAGCATACTGGAAACATAAACATAATCAAAAACCTACTGTTAGTAGATGGTCTACAGAATGAATCTATCCAAATATGATCAGTTGCATAAAATTTGCCAAAAATCTCTGTTTCTAACACAAAATGTCCAGTGCTGAGTGCAGATAAAATATTATCAAATGTGTTTGAAATAGAATCATCAAATCTGTTAACCCCCTATCGAGGTTGACTTTTGATCACCACATAAATCACGGAAATTCAAAGCACTGAAGAATTTCCTAGCTATGTGAAAACTCTGAATTCATGAATGCAGATGATAATAAGTCGCTACCTGATAACCTAATTTCGTTATCGTTCCTTCTCATTTATTGCTTACAGCTTATACCACTTTCACGTGAAATAATAATCCCAATTATGCACCACTCTCATGTTTTTTTTCCATGCTCCAGAAAACAATCAGATTTTCTAGCCAGGTTAGCTTCATTATGGACAAAATGGGGAACCATATTTTCCAACATTGATCTGTCTATCCAGTTAGCAATAATAGCTTAACCAACCAGCTCAGAGAACGCTGTTAATTGCAAAGCTTAACCTCATCCCAGACATAATAATAAAACAAATTCAGATGACAGAATATGAGTCAAAATATGCTGATATTGGCCTGCTTAAATCACTGGGCTGCCTAGATTTTTGTTCATCAAAATACATTGCATTTACTATATTTTATGTCGTTTCAGTTGCTCAACTGCATCCTTGAATCACAATATGTATTTGTGCGTTTCGACGTACTGCCTTGGATTCTTCAATGGAAATGAAGAGAAACATTCTAGGGTATTTTTGTATGATATGGATAGAACATTAGTTCTTCAGATGATATTTTGTCAGTTAGGATTTTAAATGAACATTTCGCACAAGAATTGAATACTTTCCAAAAAATGTTCAGAGATCTTCGCTTTGCATAAAAGTATCTGGTTTCAGAATAAAGATTTTATTGTCATAAACGTAATGCTTGTTTACTCTCTTGCAGTAAACCGGTGTGCTTAATTATTGATTGATTGGTTATAAGCGTATCCTATAGAAGTTATTCATTTGGTAGTTTTTAATACAGGAGAGGACATATTTTTTATTATAGCTTGATTCCACACCATATTTTCGGCACAAGTATGGAATCTTCGGCATGTGATATCGGTAGCCCAAATTTTGCAGGCCCACCATTGATATCAGGTGTGCGTCAGCAGGATATCGTACCCTGGACCATGTGCATGATCGAGGAGAGTCCTAACCACTGTGCCACCAACGCACATATTGTTACTGTATGATCTGTAAACCATAAATTCAAACCTAACCGGGACTAAAGTTCACATTTGGATTTCGACTAGTACACGCTTCTCAGCCAGAACATAGTTTCCTCGTCTTAAGCCTGTAATTGCTCAATCAAATGAAATAGTTACATAACTAGCTATGATTCCTAGTCGTATTTCCTTTTCATGAATGAGTTCATCTTTACCTTCTCAGTCGGCCTTCTTTATCCACCTCATTTTGTTGGAATAGTAGCTGTATGGTCATTTATAGGTCATCGTGCATTGAAGCATCAGTCGAACAAATTAAAACCCACCATTAAATCCATTATAACAGTACTTAATTCAAATCACTCTACGAGATTACTTTACGATTTAAGGAAAAGCTGATTTTTAGTTTTCTCGATTAGGTCTTTGAAGTACCTGTCACAAAAAGTATCTGGCGTCTAATAATTCAGTGTGTTCTTTATTCATCCTTTTTTTTCTCAGTTTTTAAGGAGTTATGTTTTTCCGTTTTAAAGCATTTCAGCATAAGTTATATGGTTAGATATGGTCAGAAGTTAATAATTAAAAAGACTATCACTGGGATAATCCC